ATCAGAATTCCCTGCAACTGACAGATTAGAGGCAGGACATGTTACAGCCTAATTCACAAAAGTTACCAACTGTCTCTTTCTAGAAAGCAGCAAGAAGTTAAAGAAATTCTTTGAATTAGCGCCTGGTGTATCAGGTGGAGTGCAGAAAGGGCTGTTAGAGCAGTGTCGGAAGGATCCTGGCAGGTCAGATGGGTTGGACATCATTATTAATAATCATTGCTGGCTTCTAAATACTGGTAGCAAGATGACTTCTGATTTGTAATCTTAGGTAAATTATAGATAAATGAAAAAGGCCAGTAATCATACACTAAGATTAATAAACAGCACTTCAAAATTAACCGCATGAGGGCTGTGCTTGCAGCAAGGTTTCACAAGACAAGGCACCCAGATTTTTTCTTCCCACGCCTGGCTTGCAGAGCAGCTCTCGTGGCCATTTCAAAAACCTCTCTCACTCCATCTTTGGTCTTTGCTGAACACTCCATGTACCCAAAGGCGCCAATCCTGTTTGCCATATCTCTGCCTTCTTCAGGTTTTACTGGCTCCTGCTTCATCTTGGCTAACTCCCGTCTTGTGTGCTCATCATTCCGAAGATCCTTCTTATTTCCAACCAGGATAATGGGTACATTGGGACAGAAATGCTTTACTTCTGGAGTCCATTTTTCTGGGATGTTTTCTAAACTATCAGGGCTGTCAATGGAGAAACACACCAGTATAACATGGGTATCTGGATAGGAGAGAGGCCTCAGGCGATCATAATCTTCCTGTCCAGCCGTGGCCCACAAAGCCAACTCTACCTGCTTTCCATCCACTTCAATATCTGCCACATAGTTCTCAAACACTGTGGGAACATATACTTCTGGGAACTGGTCCTTGCTGAAGACTATGAGTAAGCATGTCTTACCACAAGCTCCATCACCAACAATCACCAGTTGGCCTCTTCACGCCAACGACGCCTGTCCGCGAGTCGCAAGCTCAGAGACTAGGGCGGATAGCTTCAGAGGCAAAGGAGGACTACCAAGAGAACCGATGGAGGGCGGTGGACTCGGGAGTGCGAGCGAGGGCGGGCGGTGGCGGGAGGGCCATCCCATATTAATTTAAATGCTCAACATATAATTTCACCTAAAAATATTTTGGCAGGCAACTCAGAAATTAACAGTAGCAACTATCACCACCACCAACAAACTTTTGTTTGTTCCTAGATTGTATGATGGATTCTGCAAGCATGTATGATGGAAAACAGGAAAAATGACAGGGTTCATATTTATTTCTCCCCTTAAATCTAACTGAAATGAAACTTTATAAGCAAACCTAGTGTTTGATGTCACTTTGAAATCAGAAACTTCTAGAAATTCTTCTACATTTAAGGCAACTTAGTGTCTACAAAGCTAACTTTCAAAATACTTTGAGAAACCACCACATGGAATAATTTTTTATGTCCTCAGCTACATATTACTGAGATATAATAGCACTTCAAGATTAAAAACCAGATGCAGAATGAAGTATGGTGGCCTGGAAACTATAACGGTAATGAAGCTTGTCCATGAGAACTGGCCAGAAAGAACATTTCAGAAGCAGATCTGATATTGTAGAAGATCACATTGATAATGTACAATGTAAGTTTGAGAAGTCTGACTACATAGCAAAAAAGCTAACGAAAACAATTAGTTGATAAATATGAAAAGAAATATACAATAAACAGAGACATAAATGTGGGAAGAAAAAATGTAAACACTACGTTGGAGAATGTCAAAAATAAATGCAACAGGGCCAGCCAGATAGCTCAACGGATTAAGCACCTGCTTAGGCAGAGCACAGGGGCCAGGGTCTGAGCCCCAGCCTGCCATGCCAGCTGCACGCTGAGATGGTGATTGAGACTGGACGTGGTGATGGCACCTGTAATCCCAGAGCTTGGGAGGCTGAAAAACAGGAAGGATCACTACACGTCTGATCTGTGTAGTGAGACACTATAGACTCTGTGCTAAATACATCATTAGAAAAACAAAGAATAAATGAAACAGAAGCAATAACTATTGACATAACAAGAATTTAAGTGAAAGATATAGTGTGTAAACAAAACTTTGAGGGGCTGGGGTATTAGGGTACGTGGGTCATCAGGCATAAATTAATGAAGACAAAATCAGTTAGACACATCTTAATAAAAGATTTAACCTTCAAAGATCCATCACTACAGCTGTACACCAAAAAAGTTTGAAGTATATTTGAACTAAATTTTGATTTCTCTTCAAAGTTAACTGATGCAAGAAAATAAATATCAGATTAGGAGGAGAAAGGTTATTTCACAAGAGTTCTCTGCTCAATCATGTTTTTTATCTAAAACAACAAAGATTCATTTTCAGATATGTAAAATCTAAGAATAAATTAGCAAAGTTTTCTGGAACTCTCTCTCTTTCTCTCAAGTAACTACTTTAATCAATGCAAGAATCAAAACTAAGGAATGGTTAGAAAACACCAAAACTGGTTAGAAGATAGCTATGAAGATCCAGGAAATAGGGGAAAAGAAGAGATGTTGGTCAAAAAGTTAAGGCTAAAACATATGCTGACTTAATTTTGGTCATCATTTCAAAATGTAGATATATCAAATCATCACGTTCCACAGATTAAAAAAAAATCGTAAAATTTTACTTTATTAAAAAAATTGAAAACATCTTTTAATTAATTTGGTACAGGGTCTCACTATGCAGCTTGGACTTGTAGTGATCCTCCTGTCTCACCCTCACCAGCTCTGGGATTACAGGCCTGTGCCACCACGACTGTTTCTGGTGGCTGGCATGGCATGCCCAGGGTTCCGGCATGGAATGTGGTACAGGAGATCAAACTTGGGTCCTTGCACTTGCCAGGCAGGCACTCAGTCTGCTATCACCCAAGCCCTATTTTATTTTATTTTGTCTTTTTGAAACACAGTCTGGCTATACAGTTCAAGCTGGCCTTTAGCTCACTTTGTAGCCCAGGATCATCTTGAACCTGCAATGATCCTCCTGCCTCAGCCTCCTGAGTGCCGTGATTACAGGCATGTGCCACCATGCTGGGTTTAAAAAAAAAAAAAAATCAATCATAGGGCTAGGAAGATGGCTTGGCAGTCTAAGCACTTTCCTGGCAAGTGTAAGGACCCAGGTTTGATCCCCAGTATGAATGCTGTGCTGGTCCTGGAAACCCAGGCACACTGTGCCAGCCACCGAAACTGGACCAGAGTGGTGCAGTCCTGTAATTCCAGGGCTGGGGAGCCTGAGACAGGAGGATCACATGTAGCGAGACTATCAAAAATAAATCAATAATAAATAGCATAAAATTTTAAATCAGTTATAATTTACTACAGATAGATTTTAAAAAAATAAGGAATGATTAAGTAGCACAAATGACTAAGGATGAACAGATACCAAATACAATTTCAATACTAACTGCGGTATTACAAAAGAGAAGGCAAGTATTACTGGTAATTACAAAGGGAAAATACAGAGAAGGTATAACCATTAAGATGATTTAAAAATAATATTGCTGAAATGACATGCAAGAACTTTTAGAGAAAAATGGAAAAAGAGAAAGAAGTAGCAAGAAGAATTACCACTACTCAAAGTAAGAAAATAAAACCAAATGGGACTGTTCTCAGTTAATACTAAGGGAAATATATTCTCAGTTGTATCTCTAAATATGTTTGAAATGTGTAAGTATAATATTAATTAAAAATTTCTGCTTTTCATCATTATCTCTGACAGTGAAATAAAGACACTGATGCATTTATATGCAGAGAAAAGGAGAAAATAAAAAATATTCTGATGCAGCAATTACATTCTTAGGCATGTATCCTAGAAGACTAGAAACATAAATACCATAACTGGTAGCACAAATAAAACCCTCCATGGCACATTCTCGCCATAAAGTGCATATTCTGACAGTAAAAAGTAAGCTAACTGGATCCACATATATAGCCATGAAGAAAAAATATGTTAAAAAATTATTTTAGAAGATTGCATTTCAAGGCCAGGTATGATACAGTTTTTCTAGTATTCTCATACAAAACTAAAATTGACACTGACTTAAATTATATTGACAACCAAAACAGACTTGTACAAAAGTTAAATATTATTGAAAGGCAGGAGGACTACCATGAGTTTGAGGACAGTCTGGGCTACAAAGGTGAGTTGAAGGCCAGCCTGAACTACACAGTGAGACCCTATCTCAAAAAGACAAAAAAAAAACCCAAAAACAAAAACAAACAAACAATAACAACAACAAAAAAAGACAAGAAAACTACAAACTAGAAACTACAGAAAAACAGAACATAATGTTGCAAAAGCGAATTTTTCTAATAGTAGGCTAGATTTAGAGAAGGAACACAGGCAATGCCTGGTATATTTTAAAGTATTTAAATCAGAAGCCATTTTGGGCAATGATTGTTTAAGAGTTTACGACAGCTACAGAACTACAGACCAATTACACTACAGGACTTCTGGGTTCCCTTGACCACAGTGAGTGGCAGAGGCAGGTATGCCGGCACACACCTGAAACCTCAGCACTTTGGAGGCTATGATGGGAGGATCACCATGAGTTTAAGGCCAGCTTGGGGTATATGAGTTCAAGGCCAGCCTACACTATGTAGTAAGAAGGACCCTATAACCCACTAAAACAAACAAAAGAGAGGGAAGAAATAAAAACAGATAAAAAGACAGGATGGACGGACGGACGGACGGACGGACGGACAGACAGACAGACAGACAGACAGAGATAGCTACAGAAAAGATTCAGGCTAGATATTATCCTCCTGAGAAGGTGAAGCTCAGGCTGGCAAGGACATCCGGATCCTACCCTCTGTGGTGCAGAGACAGGTTAGCTATTTTTAGACAAAGAGGGCTTTAAGCCAAAACTGAAAAGCTGAGGCAGCGGGGAGGTAGCAGAATGGAGGGGTTTGAGAAGTGAGTGTGGCCTTTCCTTTATGGTTGTGGGCAGGGGGGCTAGCTCCGTGCTGCCTCCTAGGTTACCTCTGGAAGTGAAGTCACCACCTTGCCTTCTGCGGGGGTTCCTGCAGGGGACTATGGCTGGGTAAGACCCGGGATGGAAAGAATGATTCCATGATGCTTTGTAGCAGTTTCCCCAATCTGAAATTTTCCATGTCTGTGGATCCCAAAATTTGCTGAGATGGAGGATCATCAAAAAAATGACCCAAACATTGTGGATCCAAAGAAAGATGACCCTCTCAAAAACACTCGCCCTCAGATTTCTGTCAATGAATTCTCGTGTCACTGCGGTTATGACATCCTGGTTAACGCCACTACCCTGAACTGTGGGCACAGTTTCTGCCAGCACTGCCTTGCTTTGTGGTGGGTGTCATCGAAGAAAACGGAGTGTCCAGAAAGCAGAGAGAAATGGGAAAGCTTCCCCAAAGTCAACATTCTCCTCAGAGATGCTACTGAGAAGTTATTTCCTGATGCCATTAGAATGAGATTTGAAGACATTCAGCAGAATAATGACATTGTCCAAAGTCTTTCAGCCTTCCAAAAATATGGGAATGATCAGATTCCTTTAGCTTCCAACCCAGGCCGAGTGACTCAGCAGCGAGGAAGGGGCTTCTTTTCCGTAGTGCTCACAGCTTTAACTGATGTGGCAGTGGTGCTGCTTGTGTGTCATTGGAGCAGCAGGGAATCTGAACACAACCTCCTGGTCCACAAGGCTGTGGCCAAATGGACAGCAGAAGAAGTTGTCCATTGGCTGAGCAGCTGGGCCCATGGACCTCCCACTACAGTGACAGGTTTTTATCAGAAAGAGTAAATGGAAGATTGCCTCTAACCCTGACAGAGGAAGAATTTTCAAGAGTACCTTATACCATAGAAAACAGCAGCCACAGAAGAGCCACCCTTATGGAGCTGGAGCAGGTCAAAGCACTAGGTGTGAAGCGCCCCCCCCCATCTCTGGGACTATAAGGCTGTGAACCCAGGCAGGTCCCTGTTCCTGCTGTATGCCCTCAAGAGCTCCCCGAGACTTGGCCTGCTGTACCTGTGCCTGTTTGACTACACAGACACCTTCCTGCCCTTCATTCACACCATATGTCCTCTGCAGGAAGACAGCTCTGGAAAGGACATTGTCACCAAGCTGTTAGATCTGAGAGAGCCCATCAGGAAGCAGTGGAGAGAGTTCCTTGTCAAGTACTCCTTCCTCCTGTACCAGCTCATTGTTGAATTTGCCTGGGACTGGCTGGAGGTGCATTACTGGACATCGCGGTTTCACACTGTCAATGCCATGTTACTCTTGGTTCTCAAATTATTCTCTTTTTGAAGGATCTGGTCCAGAGGTGAACTAAAGACAGTACCTCAGAGGATGTGGAGCCATTTTTGGAAAGTGTCAACACAGGGGCTTTTTGTGGCCATGTTCTGGCCCCTCATTCCTCAGTTTGTTTGCAATTGTTTGTTTCATTGGGCCCTGTACTTCAACCCAATTATTAACATTGATCTTGTAGTCAAGGAAGTTCAACGGCTGGAAACCCAAGTATTGTGACTGGTGCTGCCCAAGCTCCAAGAAACTCCTCAGACCTCCCAGAGGAGGGAGTGACCAAGTGGACTTCCTGTTTTCTACCCCAGTAAACAAGGTGCTGCTTTGTATGTCAAAGGCTTCAATAAGGTCCTCTCTCCTGCCATGGCTCTGCAGTGACAGACTGATAACCAGAACAAGGAGCACTCTGTTCAGCCCATGACAGACGCACCTCCCACCGAGGCCCCTTCTTCACAAGATCCTGGGAGGCTCAGGCCTGATGGCTGGCAGTACTCAGGGTCCTTTGATGACACAGTGTAGGTGATGTTCAGAGGCCTCACATCAGCAGACCTCTCTGCTCTGCCTTCAGTAACTGACAGGCTCCCAGGGCCAGAGACCAGGACTGTAGGGGCTGGGCCCATCCTGTATAAGTCAAGTTTAGGAAAACAGGGATTGAAATTTTGTCATAGACCTAGATTGTTACACACACAGACAAAAGTATAGAAGAAAACCCAGAATTTGATTGTCAGTTCTCTCCTGCTGCATAGTTGTTAGGCTTTGGAGTGAAGCTCACAAAAGATTCAGGTTGAGATGACTGATGGTGAACTCATCCTCACTGTTTGCTGTTGTGCCAATCACTGAAAGTTTAGAGGGATTGAGTGGGATGCCATGCAATTCGTGGGGTGTAATTCCTGTCAGACTAAGCGGTATCAGGCCACTTAAAAGCATTTTGGAGTGCTGTTGTTTTGTTTTCAAGAACTTAATTTGTAAAATAAATCTGAAAGTTTTTGTTCAAGGAAGCATTTTATAAATTGACCACATACTGTATAATGAATAATCTTTATTGCTCTGTCCTGCTGTATAAACACAGATACAACTACCCCCCCCAAAAAAAAACCTGAAAAGGCAACAGTCACTATGTATTGAACAAGGGAACAATGAAAAAGTAACAGTTCCAAATATATGGCCACTAAACTCTGCTACACTCAATTTCACAAAATAAACACTACTGTATACCAACAAAATTATACTGTGGGTTCTCAATATCCTAGTATCAAAATAAAACTAGTCAAAAAAAAAAAAAAAATCAACGAAGATCAGAGTTGAACCACACCTTCAAACAAATGGATCTAAGAGAGATCTGCAGAGCTCTTTCTTTCCTTGCTGGTAGTGCCCAAAACCTGGCAAACTTTCTGTAAGAAGTGTGGCAAGCATCAACCCCACAAAATGACATAGTATAAGAAAAGCAAAGATTCCCTATATGCCCAGGGAAAGTGTCCACCATAGCCATTCTGTTTATGACAGGAAACAGAGAGGCTATGGTGGACAGACTAAGCCGATTTTTCCAGAAAAAGGCCAGAACTACAAAGAAGACTGTCCTGAGGCTTGAGTGTGTGGAGCCCAACTGCAGATCTAAGAGAACACTTGCTATTAAGAGATGAAATCATTTTGAACTGGGAGGAGATAAGGAAAGAAAGGGCCACGGGATCCAGTTCTAACTTTTCATGCTTTGTTTTACTTTAAAGACAATAAAATCTTGCTGTGTTCACTTAAAAACAAAACAAAAAAATAACAAAATATACATTCTAAGTATGGTACTTCCTCCAAAATACACTACTTACTAGCTCACAAAGCAAATATGAGTACATATGTGAGAATGAAATTATTCCATATCTATTATCAGATCACAGTGATAACAGATCTAATGAACATACGTTTAAAAATTCTCCACAAGAAACTGGCACATGAGGCAAATTATTGAAATGATAATTCATCAAGACAAACCAGGCTTCATCTCAGGGATGCAAGGATGGTTCAATTTAAATAAACCCATGAATGTAATACATCGCTCAAACTATACAGGAGAAAAACCACATGATTATTTTGATGCATGAAGGAAAAGCTTCTCACAATATCTAACATACATTCATAAGAAAAACTCTGAAGAAAATAGATATTCAAGGATCTTACTGAAATTAACAGATACTCCTCAGAAGAAAATGTACAAGTGTCCAACAAAGATAAAAAAATGTTCAATACCACTGATTCTATCTTACTCTAGAAAAAAACAGGTACGAAAAAATTAAATAATGCTGGCAAAAGAAGAAAAAGAACCTTTCTAAACTGTAGGGGGAAATGTAAACCAGAACCACCACTATGGAATCAGCAGAGAGATTCCTCAAAAAAGCAAAACTAGAAATTCCATTCAACCAAGATATTCTCCTTTTAGTTATCTTCCTGAAAGAGTTAAAAGGGAGGGACACACACACACACACACACACACACAGTTACAGCAGCAGACGTCATAATAACTAAATCATGGAAACAGCTTGTACGTCCATCAACAAATGAATGAAAAAAGCAAATGTGGCATTTATATGCAATGGAGTACTGTATTACCATAAAGGAGGACAAACTTGACTCATTTAGAGGAATTACATACACCTCTGGGCCTTAATATTAAGTGAAATAAATCACACAGAAACTTAAATATCAGCTTTTCCTATATCAGAAACAAAAAATATAAAATTAAAATGCTAACTACAGAATATATAACAGGAAACAGGAGTTCTGTTGTCAATGAGAAGGTGACCAAAAGGTGGAATGAGGGGAGAAGGGATGAAAGGGAAGTAAAAAAAAAAAAAAAAAAAGATGTGATTTTATTTAATTAATTAATTTAATGCATTTAGTACAGGGGATAAAGTGTTTAGTACAGGGGATACAGGGACTCACTACGTAGATTGCATTCATAGTGATTCTCCTGTTTTCAGCCTCCCACATGCTGGAATTACAGGCATGAGCCATCATGCCCAGGTTCAATTCTTGTCTCAACGTGCTCTGGGTGCTGGGCTAGCACTGCATGTGTGGGATAGAACTCTAGCCACTGTGCTCTGCTTAAGCATGAGCTTTAGTTCACTAAGCAATAGGCCAGACATCAAGATGTGATTTTAAATGTGTCACCTTCCCACCATGAATGCAATCATCACATACTGCTAGCATGCACCAAGAAAAATTAAATAACAAATAATGACCTAAAATATTAAAATTTAACAACAATTTTAAAAGCCAAACTGCTAAAATATTTGTTTTTGGGTAATGGAGTTATGGAAGATACCCTCTACTTTTACGGGAAAAATAATTATCACCTTGTAGTATACAGCTCTCTGAAGACAAATGTAATAAATTAAAGAACATGTAAAGCTTCACAGAGTATTAGTAAGATACTAATATTTTTTATGTTGCTACGGTTATACTCACATGCATTAAAATTTTTTATCTGTGGATACGGCAGTTCACAAGTTTAAAAACTTGAAGATGAAAAATCAGTTCTGACATTTCTAATTTTAAAAAAATAAGTACTTCTCAAACTGCATATACTTATAATTACAGAAAACGATCAGAAGTTCCTTGAAAACTGTAATGCATTAAATTATATAAATTTCAAATAGCAGCTAAAATATACAAACACTAGAAAAACCAATCTACCGTTACATATTTAGCATGAACCGCAAGAATCTAACTGTGGGGCTGGGGAGATGGCTCAGTAGAATAAGTGCTTCCCTGGCAAGCGAAAGGATCTGAGTTCAATCCCCAGATCCGAAAAAAAAAAAAAAAAAGAAAAAAAGAAAAGAAACAGAAGGTAGAGGAGCATTTCATGATAAAATATTTGCAACATTAAAATGACCTGGGTGGGTGAGACTCTCTTCCACCCCCTTGGGACGCCCCCCCCACACTCCGCAGCACCCCCCCACCCCATCCACCGAGTAGGAATTTCTGCCCCATTCCAGGAACCACCAGATTCAGTCCTAGCCCAGACCCAGTGAGTGTGTGGGAGAGCTTCCCCCTACCCTGCACCTGCGGAACCTGCCCGGAACCTGCCCGGAACCTGCCCGGAACCTGCCCGGAACCTGCCCGTCGCAGCCCAGGTGCAGCGCAGGTGAGAACCTCTACCACCCCCTTGGGACGCCCCCAACACTCCACAGCACCACCCCTTCCCGCCTGCCGAGTAGGAATTTCTGCCCCATTCTAGGAACCCCCAGATCCAGTCCTAGCCCAAGCCCGGTGAGTGTGTGGGAGAGCTTTTGCTACCCTGTGCCAGTGGGACCTGCTGGTCCCAGCCTAGGCGCAGCGTGGGTGAGACCCTCTTCCATCCCCTTGAGACTCCCCCCACCATTCCACAGCACCCCACCCCACGCCACCCCACGCCACCCCACCCCACCCGCCCAGTAAGAATTTCTGCCGCGTTCTGGGGACCCCCAGATCCAGTCTTAGCCCAGGCCCGGTGAGTGTGTGGGAGAGCTGTCTCTCCCTGCGACTCCACCTTGTCCCCTCCAGACTCAGCTCAGGCCTGGCATAAAGGCCTGCGGTAAAACCCTGCAACTGCAATCCCTGCAGAGAGTACAGGACAGAACCACCCAGCTAGTCCAGGAGCAGAACATCTTGCCAGAGGGGCACAACAGGTTCACTCCCAAGGACAGCAGCAAGAAGGAGCTGAGCAAAGCAACCAGATCCAAGCCCGGCACAGCTGGATAAATCCAAACTTTATAGATCTGCACCTGACGTTCAGTAACTGCAAAGGTTATACCTGCACCAAAGCTCTACAACAAGCGTCAGAAGACAGTGCTATACAAAATGACAATGAGAAGGAGCAAAATGCAAGCTCAGAACCCAAGCCCACCCATAACAAGTGCAGAGGACACTAACACAGAGGAAATTGGGAATCACACAGCTAAAAGCAATGAATAATGGCTTCTGAAATAAAGAAACAGCTGCAGAAAGATATAGAGGAACTCAGATTGGAAATGAAAAAAGAAATCCCTAAATTAATAAAATAACATCTGCACTAAAGAATCAAATGCAGAAACATATGGAGGAAAGCCAATGCCCACCCAGAACAAGTACAGAGGACACTAGCTCAGCTCAAATGTATGAATTAATAGTGTCGATAGTAAATAAGCAAGGAAAAAGTCATAGAGGAACTCAGAGCAGAATTCTTTTCTACTGGCTCAGCTCAAATGTACGAATTAACAGTACTGATAGTAAATAAGCAACAGCAGAAAGTTACAGAGGAACTCAGAGCAGAATTTTCTGAAATAAGAATTCTTGGAACTCATACCATCTGAAGTAAAGAATCAACTACAGAAAAAGGGAGGAATCCCAATCTGGGGGAGATGGCTCAGTGGAATAAGCGCTTCCCTGGCAAGAGCAAGGGCCTGAGTTCAATCCCTGGTTC